CATAGAAAAATTGAATGAATCCAGGTAATAGTATGATTTTTATTGACAAAGAAAAACAACATCCTAACGTTGAGATGTTAGGACAATAACTACTTTGCACTTGACCACTTACTTTCAGTAAATGGGTCCTGGTAAAGGCACAATAGTCTACAAAATGTCTGCGCACCATTCAGTCTATACATCTTCAGTGCTATATAATTTACTTTCTTGTTGTAACTTAGATGAATTACAAAGTACACTAGATTACAAGCATTTCTCACACCATCAGTGAAAAATCGTATCTTTGAATCTTTGGAAAACTTACCAAATCCCGAAAATGTCCGAAGGACATTTGGAAAAGATCGAACTAGGCAAGCAGAAACCTTTAGCAAATCTTTGATCAACTGGTCTGCAATCTTCAAAGAATCGTCAAAACATTTCGTTGTAAGCATGTTCAAAAAAATGCAAAATTATACTTTGCTTTTTCTAGTTGAACACTCGAAATTTCATGGGCGCTTCCATTCGACCAAAAATCGCGGTGTGAATTTCCGGAAATTTTCTGGGGCGAATGGTATAGACTTTTTCGGTTGACTGTACCAAAGTGGAAAACGCCCTCACACGTTTGTTCGCTTCGAATTTTTCAATGACTTCAAGGTTTAAATAGCAAATATAGAAGCATACAGAGCACTGATCCATTTTCGAATACACATCACCGCCATCTTTGTCTGGGATGATCGTGGTGATCGCGGCCAAGAGAATTAGCGCTGAATAGAAAATTGCAAATTTACATAATTTCCGAAAAAGATGACAACCTCGCAAGGTATCCCCAAATTTTCGAAACCTTTCTCCAGGAAATTTCCGTTCCATTAGGTTTTCATCTCGGAATTTCCGGAATTTTCGGTTGAACGGTTCGCTTTTCGGAAATTCAACAATATCCGGATTTACTGGAACTTTTCCCAGGAAATTTCCGTACCATTTGACCCGGTTTCGAAAGTTTCGGAATTTTTGGCGAATGGAAAGCGCCCCCTATCTTGGCGAACCCATCGATCGTTAATCTCTATTTGAAATTCAGGCTATATACGCCTAGGCCTATTACACTGACCAGCTACAGAATCTTTACTTTTGTTTACAATGATTGTTACTTGTGGGAACTTTTTCAGGTTAACCGCCAAACTTTGCAAGCTAATCAAGACTTCATATGGGAACTAATTTACTCGGAACTTGACGTTTCCATGGAAACGTTGCTTACACAAGTATGTCTTTCCAAAACTGGAATTATTTTTTTGTATCAAAAAATTATCTTTTATGCATCCATCTCTACTTTTGTGTAGGACTTATAGTTATATTGTTATTGACTTTAATTAGCTTGTTTTGATTCATTTTGGTGGATTTGTGACGTTTCTGGAATCCGAGATGGCGAATCCAAGAATAGCCATAACAAGATGGCGGGTTTTTGGATATCATGACGTAGTCACCACGTGGTATGGCGACATCATCTCATGCTGCTTACCTCAGAGGAAATGTTTCTGGAGTCTCTAAGTTTCGTTATCATTGCTAAAATAGTCTTTAAGAAGTTGGGGTAAGAGAGGAATCTCGCATTCCCCTCGTAAAAAAAAAACAAAATTTAATATATCTAACACCAATCTAAATAGAGCTAAAGTAGTAAATAGCAAAACGTTTCACATTCAAGACAAACGCGGAACTAGTAACTTTCACGCAGGCCGACAAACACCCAAATTCTGCCGCTTGCAGAAATGATAAACATGACGCTAATCTCCACTTTGTTTCTTGATAGTTCTGCTTCTTTCGTATTGGAGTGGGCAAAATGGGTCGATATCAAAATAATAAATAAACAATAGCCTTGGCGCGAAAATATGCTCGGATATTTGTCCTTGGACATTATCTGCTCCTCGAAGCTCACAGTTTTCCTCGAGCTACGCTCTCGGAAAACTGTTCGCTTCTTGGAACAGATAATGTCCAAGGACAAATATCCGAGCATATTTTCGCGCAAAATGGACGCTATTGTGTTTATTATCATTCAAATCTTTTTCGCAACATGCGCAGTTTTGAAAATTGGGGAATATTTTCGGATATTCCCCAGCTTTAGCTGGGGAACATTCGGTCACGTGACGTGTTTAGACCAATCGCGGTCGAGCGAAAATATTTGATGGATTACAATGAAAGTTATATACACAAGTGTAGATTGACTAAGAAATCTAGGGTTCCACAACAAAAGCTAAGAGTTTACCAAGGACATGTTATGCATACACGAGTTTTCGTCACAATCAGTTACAACAAAATGTTTCTGCCAGACGTTTACAGGCCACCAAGTCGTGAGTTAACGCGTCATATAAAACCTGGTAAGTGGCATCTGAGCCCATTCCTTGCTTCCATTTCATTAGCATACAGCGTGCTCTCTCGGCCACTTTGTTGTTCTCGTCATGAATTGCACTTAGCGCCGCCTCATCGAATTCGAGGCGACGTCCCAGTTTCTTCCAGTTATCACCAAGTTGCGTAGACAACTTCTCTAACTCGTCGTCAGAAGGATTGCCAGCTTTCACTGCAATTAGAAAAGACAACGGGTACTTATCTACTTGTCATTCTAGCAGCATGAAAAAAGTAAGAACCTGCTAGCAGTCGGGCGGTATCAAAAACAAATCGCACGTGTCTACGGACCTAAACTGCCCTCTATGCATGTACAATAACCTAAATCAGACTTTTTTGACCTTCTGCTGCCGTGCGGATCCCACTCCTTCCGCTGTAGCCTGAGACAGTTAAGAACTGTTAACGGTGCTAAGTGATAGTATAGAGCGTCCAAAATTGTTTCCATTGAGTTAGATAACATGCGACGATGAAGTCATTACGTCACGATACACAAATAGCCACAACCTTGGATTTCTCAATTGTTCTAAAACGCCCCCAAACAGCTAAAAATGACTCAAGCAACGCCAAACCGTCCTGAAAATGTCAAACGTTAAACTTTGTACATCTGAAATAATATACTGGTCTGAATACCACTGCCATGGAAATAACAAGTTTCGGGTACAATGACGTGTCATACAAAATTCTTCCCAGATAAATTTCAGTCGCTAAGTTTAGCAGCTTCTCTAAAACATTGAAAATGATATAAACTGACAACGTCCGTGTGACGGGATCCCCCACCTTTCGTCTGAATAGGATCAAGTTATATCTCATTCTAGAATTATTAAATGAGCTATCAAAGGACAAGCCCAAAAAGAGAAAGAAAACATCAACAAAAAAGTAAAAAAAAAAATGAACTTACCAGGATGCTTGTTTTTAGTCTATGAGACAAGAATAAAATTATAATTATTGCGTAATTAGTAGGAGCACATTAATTTTCTTATTATAAAGGATCAGTTGGTTTTGTGAATGTCAGCTAAATAATTCCAACTAGTTACTAACTAGGGATTTTAAGGAATCATTAGGAATGAATGAGTTAACAAGTGAGCCTAAAATTATCTTACCCCAGTGGATGGTGGGACAATTGACAACTGGCACAGCGTTTTCTTTTTCCGTGGCCTTTTCTTTCTTCGTGGTTTCTCATCAAGATATCTAAAGAACTCTATTCTTGGGACATGTTCAGTGGAAACTCGAACATCGATATCATTTTCAAACTTCCTATCAGGAAGAAACCTAAAACATAAAGACAGAATAGTGTAGGTAAATTTAAACTGCTTGGAAATTGCTGGAGAATTCTTTAATTTACCCTAATTAAATCTCATAATTGGCAAGCTTTTCTCGAGTCCTCTGCGCATCCATCATGGGTTTATTGCTCCAATAAACCTAAGAGAATTGTGGTCTATTTCTTTATTCAAGCGTCGTTATAACATGGAAGCAATAGCTGGTTTTCACATGACGTCACTAAAATCCGAACTACAAAACTATTGATCTTCCTGAGATTTTACTT